TGGGAGTCTCCATGAGGTCGAGTTCCACAGAAATTGCTCCTTAGTGATCATTGTAGATGATCGAATTATCACTTACTCATTAAGCAATACACTGCTCTACTGTATTCTCAGACACATCTCTATTCTATCTCTCCTCGTGTATTTGAGAGCACATGCTTTGTTCATAACTTAGCCCCTAAAAAAGATAAATTAGCCCCTAGTTCTCTTAAATGTGTCTTCTCGAGTTTAAAAAGATTATCCTTGCTATCACATGATCTCCGCCGATATCTTATGTCTGCCGATGTAACATTCTTCGAATCTCGACCTTACCACACATCTTCTGATCATCATGATGTCTCTGAGGTCTTACCCATACCTCAGGTCTTGTTTGTACCAACTTTTGAGGGACATACTAGTTCTCCATCTCCAATTGTAGTGCCACCCGTCCATACATATCATCGGCGTCCACATCCACTGATAGTCTCAAATGATTCATGTCATGCCCCGAACCCTACTCCCACATTGGCCTTGCCTCTTGCTAGCCAATCGATTACACTTCAAAAAGGATTATGATCTACTCGAAATACTAATCCACATTATACTTTCTGAGTTATCATCGTCTATCTTCACCCCATTATGCCTTTGTATCATCTTTGTCCTCTATTTCCATCCCTAAGACTACAGAAGAAGCACTTTCTCATTCTCGATGGAGGCAGGCTATGATTGATGAGATGTCTGCTCAATATTAGAGTAGTACAGGGGAACTTGTCCCTTTTCCTATAGGTAAGTCTGCTTTTGGTTGTCGTTGGGTTTATGCGGTCAAAATTGATCCAGATGGTCAAGTCGATCGGCTCAAGACTTGCCTTGTTGCCAAAAGGTATACTCATATATTTTGCCTAGATTATAGTGACACTTTCACTCATGTGGCCAAAATAGCCTCTGTCCATCTTTTCCTATCTATGGTTGTCGTTCGTAGGGCTGGGCATAAACACCGGAAAACCGAAACACCGTACCGAACCGAATTTTTTTGGTATTTCGGTTTCGGTTTTTCGATTTTCGATTTGGTATTCGATATATGTTTTTGTATTTTTCGGTATTTTGGTTCGGTTTTCGGTATGTAATTTTGTGTAATTCGGTATTTCGGTTTACCGAAATATATTATATTATTATATATATTTATATTATATTAATTATTAATATTAAATAATAAATATTATAATTTAAAATAAAAAATTAAAAAGTAAAAGACTTTTTTATATAACTATTTTTAGCCCATTAAGCTGAAAATCAAACAAAAAAATTGTAAATTTTTAAAAGCCCAACTAAGCATGCCCATTAAAAAAACTGAAATAACAAAACCGAACCGAAATAATAAAAACCGAACTGAATCGAAATATTTCGCTTCGGTATTTGGTACACAATTTACAAAAACCGAAAACCGGAAAAAAAAACCCGAAACCGAACCGAAATACCGAATGCCCACCCCTAGTCGTTCGTCATTGGCCTCTTCATCAGTTGGACATTTAGAATGTTTTTTTGCATGGTGATCTTGAGGAAGAAGTCTATATAGAGCAACCACTTGGTTTTGTTGCTTAGGGGGAGTCCAGTAGCCTTGTATGTCGATTGCGTCAGTCACTCTATTCTGAAATAGGCTCCTCGAGCTTGGTTTGGAAAGTTCAGTAATTCAGGAGTTTGGCATGACTCGTAGTAGAGCTGATCACTCTATGTTTTATCGGCATTGAGCACCAAATCTATGTAATTTATTTGGTTGTTTACGTTGATGATATTGTTATCACCGGCAATGATCAAGTTGGTATCGCTAATTTGAAGCAGCATCTCTTTCAGCATATCCAAACTAAAAACCTCGGCAAACTGAAGTGTTTTCTAGGTACTGAGGTTGCTTAGTCTAGATCATGTATTGTTATTTCTCAATGCAAGTATGCTTTAGACATTCTTGAAGAGACAGGAATGATGGGATGTAAACCCATTGACTCCTATGGATCCAAATGTTAAACTGCTTCTAGGATAGGGGAACAACTCAGTAATCCTGAAAGGTATATACGGTTGGTTGGAAAGTTGAATTATCTCAAAATGACTACACCGTACATCTCTTTTCATGTGAGTGTTGTAAGTCAGTTTATGACTTCTCCTTGTGATAGTCATTGAGATGCAGTTGTTCGTATTCTGCAATTTATAAAGTCAACTCCTGGTAAAGGACTACTCTTTGAGGATCAAGGCCACGAGACGCTGATTGGGAAAGATCACCCTTTGATAGACGTTCTACATCGGGGTATTGTGTTTTAGTAAGAGGTAATTTGGTGTCATGGAAGAGTAAGAAACAAAGTGTGGTTGCTCGACCAAGTGCAGAAGCAAAATATCGACCAATGGTTGTGGCAACTTGTGAGCTAGTTTGGATTAAACAGTTGCTTGGAGAACTAAAGTGTGGAGAAACCGGTCATATGGAACTTGTGTATGATAATCAAGTAGCCCTTCATATCGCATCAAATCCAGTGTTTCATGAGAAGACTAAGCGCATTGAGATTGATTGTCACTATGTCAGCAGGAGATATTGTTACCAAATTTGTGAAGTCAAATGATCAAATTGCAGATTTCTTCACCAAGTCCCTCACCGGTCCTCGTATTAATTACATTTGTAACAAGCTAGTTACATATAAATTTGTATGTACCAGCTTAAGGGGGAGTGTTAGAATAGAATAAGTATACACAAACCTACATAGAATGAGAATAGTTTAAAGTCTCCTATTTGGTAAGGAATTGTATTATAGTGTCTATAAATAGGGTTCTCTATGTAATAATTAGAACACAACTCAATAATATTATTTTCATATATTTCTCAGGTAAGTCATATTAATAAGATCAAGCTCTGGCCGGTGAAGCTGCAAACCATCAACACCTGAACTCAGGCTAATTCTATTCTTTTACTTATTAGTTTTGGTTCAATTTTATATTTGTCATTTCTTCTATCTTGTTTGCACTAATTAAGCATGTTATAGTACACAAATCGCGTATCTTGATCATCTTAATCCGCGTGGTAAACAACTATGATTTTGGACAAGCATGTAAGACAAGTCAAACTATCATACTTCATCATTATTTGATTGTATCTATCTAAAGCAGAACTGTCACCTGAGCACAGACCATTGTAAGAGCCTCACACTGAGTAGGGTTCACCTTACCCTGAAATGAGTAAGACTCATATGTGTTAAGACTTACACGAGAGAGTCAATCAAATACCCGACTATACATAAAAGTGAACTCAAATATATATTAAGGCAAATGAGAATACAGGCATGATACTGCTTCCAGGTTCATTTTCAGGAAGAATGAGTTCGCCAAGACCACAGCGTGGGCCACTGTATAAGAAAAGAAAGACTCTTCAACCAAAAGCAATAAACCAAGAAAAACACATCTTCCTGAGATGCCTTAAAATCGCCAACAAAAAAAACTACCAGAGAAGTAAACATACCAAAAAAAATGCCCAAAGCACATACCTTCCTAAGAAACGTATATCATTCCCAATCTTCATAAGAGAAACAGCTACCGTATTTAAGGCTCCACTGGTTTCAACAAATGCATCGTGAGCAGCCTGCCAGTGCAAATAACAGCGAAAAATTAAGCTGCTGTTGTGATAGCCATCATTTTCTTCAAAAATTACAAAGGAAGCATTAAAAGAAACTTCACAAAGCAGTTGATTACCAATGCTTCAAACTTATTTTCAGCTGTTACAAAAGGTAAATTTGTTTCCTCCGCCACTGCTGCTGCAATTTTAATATCAAACCTGTGAAAGGGGAATAAAACATAACCACAACTGAGAATATTTGGCACATTTGAAATTCTAAAGAATGAAAAGGGATGAAACAACAAGACTTTTTGAGAACCAACTGCAAAGGATTGCTCGCTGGATGTTCCTTGCCTTCATAAAACCAATGCTAGAGTTACGGTGCTGAAAATAACAGACACCTGAACCTATATCTGGGGACACTCACCCCTTTTTTGTGTTTAATCCTGTTCCAACTGCTGTGCCTCCTTGTGCAAGCTGCTCGAGTGAAGCAGCAATCAGTGAGAACCAGAAAAGGGAAGAAAGGAAATTGCAGAAATAAAAAAGTAGGGAAAGCTAAGTTTTGAATGGGAACCTGATACATGCGTGGAAGAGTGCACAAGACTCGATTAATACCATATTTTACCTACAATGGCAATGCTCATTAACAAAATGATCCAAAACTAACACCCTTTATCAAGGTGTAATAGACTATCAGCAACTTTTGCATTTAAAACACTTGAAGTTCAGTAGAGCTTACTTGAGTGACGTAGCCACTAAATTCTTGTGCAAGAGTCAAAGGTGTTGCATCTTGTGTGTGGGTTCGCCCAATCTTAATAATGTCCTTGAATTCAGCTGACTGGTATAAAGAATCAAGAGTACCAAGTTTATCATTGCAAGCTCGTTGCTATAAGCACCCAAAGGTAGACCCAGCTAAGAAATAGGTAGAGTACCACCTTCCAATGTAAATAGTACTAATTAAAAACAATTGAAAGTGATGGCATACACCTGAAGAGTCTAATGAGTTGGTTAATTATGCGTTCCATTCCAAGATCATAGATTTCCAGAAAAAGACAAAGCAACTATGAAACAGTAGGACTAGTTTATTTTTACCTTCTTTGCTTTAATAAATAACTGACAATATAAATTATTTTCTTCTATGGGGAAGAGTCGCTTTGTAACAACCCAAAACTACTAGTACATGTGCTACAAAGTTGAGGTCAGCAAATTAAAATGAGGATACAAATGGATAATTTTATAAAGTAATATATATGAAGAGGGTTTGAAGTGTTAAACCAAGCTATAGGCCAAGGGAAGCCTTAAAACAAATGTTCAAGTTGAAGGTCCATTGTGGCGGAGTATTTCAAACCCCCTCCCCCCCCCCCTCCCAAACACATGGTCTAACTTTGAACAAGCAAATCTTCCAATCTATTAAGAGTTAGAGGACCTACTACCTACCAAATTGAAGGTCTACGAGTCTATCCCAACGCAATAGACCCTTAGCCGATACGATATCCAAGTAGAGAGATATTTGTATTTTTGAAAGATCGTGCAGGCGGCCAATTGATGTGGGCCCATAAGTCGATGGTGATACTTATAGGTTCCCCTACCACCTAAGCCAAAATCTACATGATTAGAATGTGATTTCACCCTCAAAAAGTTCGTAAAGATTTTGTTCTTCTCTTCTCTTTACTAGTGATTTGAAGGATTCTTCAAGGAGATGTAGGCTTGTTTTTAGGTGTTGTGCTAATGTTTAGAGGTAATATTTTACCCTTCATTTGTGTTCGAGTGAATCCAAGTAATAACTAAGCTATGTGAGCTAGAACATATGAATAGACTGTCGGAAAATTGAACTTGGGTTGTTATATGATGTTGGGCTGTTTTGAGATATTTCCCTGATGTTATTGCAGCTGCATTGGGGAATGACCTATATATGTATGTTTGTTGTTAATATGTAACTAGAAGAGAAACAGAAATACAGAGAATTGTTAAATTGTTAGTTAAAAGTCGAGTTTGTCACTCGATAAATCATGTATTAGCTATCATTTAGCCTAAATTTAGTTCTACTGTTGTCTATTGTAGATTAAGGTGTTGTAACAGACTAAGTTCAGCAAGTCACTGAGCGAATTGATGTAAGGTATGTAGTGGCAATCTCTTCTCCATTTCGGCACGAATCCTTTGTCTTAGTGACTTATACCGAGAAAGAGCTTAAGGGAAGTGATGACATACTTACTCTACTCTTGAGAATCGTCGAGTTAATCAATCTCTGGGTTGTCAATGTCTAGTTGATTATGTACAAGTCCACGAAGTCAAATCAAGAGTTAATTCCCTAAAATGTGCATTAAAAGACTTACCGAAACAGTTAAATAGAGAGAAGAATTGAGGGTCTAATTATGTTACTTCTTGAAATTATGTTAAAAGTAATGATGAGTCATATAGAGTAAGATGTTAAGTCCTCATTCATAAACAAGCTTCCGATTTAAGTGGCTAAAGAAGTAATATTGAGCTTGGCAAGCAAAACGAGACACCAATTTTGTTAAGTAAAAGAAGTTACGTTAAGAAAATATATCGAGGGTTGATGAGTCCTCGTTGTCAATTGTTCTCAAGTGTTGCATTATTAACAAAAGTGAAGAATTGTTGAATCACTTGAGTTAAGCTATACACATAGAAACATAAGAATAATCTTTGTCCTCGCTACCGAGTGGATGGTAGTACATGGATATAACCTAGCTACCGAGTGGGTGGTAGTACACTCATTCCTAGCTACCGAGTGGATGGTAGGACATATTTATCCTAGCTACCGAGTGGATAGTAGTACATATATATTTAGCTATTGAGTAGGTGGCATATTGATATGAGGCCTCCCATGGTTCTTGAGTAACAGATGACTTGCCCGATGTGGCATTCAGGTTAAAGGTTAATTCTTACATTTATCTTTCGTTGCAGCTGAGCATATGTTTTATGTCTTACATACCAATACATTTGTTCGTACTGGCAAGTGATGTCGAGGGTGTTGCATATTCAGGTAGAGGCTTCGATAGATCCTCTAGTAGGCGGTTGTCGAGTTCAGTGTTTTGTTGGTAAGCTCTTCTACTTCTGGAGCTCCTGAGTTTGTGGTTTGAAGTCATAGTAGCATATATATAGTGACGGGTAGGTTGGTGCCCCCTCCCAACCAATTGATAGATACGACACTCTCAAGGCTTGTAACATGTGGTACGTGTTAGTATGTTTTGAGTGGCCGTGTCGGCCTAGTTGTTTTGACATTCTAGTTTTTAGCCTCACCACCTTTATGTATATATCTGTGTTGGGATAGTTTTCGTGTAGGCTGTCTTGTACAGAAACCTTGTTGGTCTATTTAATTTTCTTTACTAGATGAGCATATGCGTTTATGTGGCAGCCTTGTCGGCTCAAGAGGTTTAGGAGTATAATTATGTGAGTTATGCTTCGTTGACTCGGTCAAGTGAGGCACTAGGTGCATGTCGCACCTCTCAGTTTGGGGCATGAACACGCTTTAGAGGGGATAAGCTAGGGTGGTTCATCAAACACCCTTATATAGGTAAATATTACTATATATGTACATATAAAACGAATACCCGTTGACCAATTCAAGGAGTTAGACCAGCACTTAAGAGTGTTCAAAATTCCCTAAAGGGGAAGGTTGAATTCCCCAGTTTCCCACTTTGTTGTGCCTACTTTTTAAAACAAAACAGACCAAATGAAAAAATAAAGTCAACCTTCGAGTGTAGTGAAGTATGCAACTGTTTTAAGTTTGGTACTAGTCTTTTATTTATCTCCATAGCAGCAGCAATATGCATCACCTACACATGCAAAAATAACCACTCTAAGAACTCAGCATAAGTTTGAAAGGAACATTAGAAACATATCAATATATCTTGCAAACAAGTAATCTAAAGGAGGAAACTCACAGTAGGAAATGTGTCATTTGAAGATTGTGATCTGTTCACGTGGTCATTTGGGTGAACGTGCTTTTCGCCACGCTTATGGCCAAGAATTTCAGATGCTCTATTTGCAATAACCTGAAAAGTTCAGATAAGACATCACTAGAAAGAACCATATCAAGATCTCTTCCCTTTGTAGAACATAATTCCTTGCAGCACATAAGTCAGCAAAATGCTCGCACAATATTGTTGACTTCCTCAAACCTTCGGGGTGGCCTAGTGGTTTGAGCTTGGGACTTCCATGTTGGAGGTCTCAAGTTCGAAACCCCTTGCCAACGAAAGCAAGGGGTTTGCCTTCTGGGTCGAGCTCGTCGTACCAAGCTTACCTAGTGCGGGTTATCTCTCCTATGTAGTTTGCGAGCTATTGCATAGGAGCGGGGGTTTTTACCCTGTGCGCACACAAATGGTAGCGGCTGCGGGTTCCTCTTGTCATCAAAAAAAAATTGCTGACTTCCTCAACATTTTTGTAGCACAAACATCTTACAAGCCGCCACAATCTGACAAATGCTAGCTACTGTCAAAACATAGAAGACACCTAATGCATGTAGAATCTGATGCATTCAGCACTATTGTTGACTTATCTTGAAGATAGACGAACTTTGAACAAAGTAATTTCTTTCAGTCTTACATACTAAAAAGAAAAAGAAATCGCCGCTGCAAGCCAGAATCAACACTCTTCCAAAAACTGACCCTGCAATCGACCAGAGCAATGTTTCATCTATCGTTATTGCTGCACAATTTATTATACTTCAACTAGGTAAATCTCCTCAAAGTCGCATCCTACAAGGTCCATTCATTTAATAAAGCTAAGAGAACAACTAAACATAGCTTTGGGTATTTTAAATGTATTAAAATCTAATCTATCATCTGGAGATGACTACACCTATGATAAATGATCAAATATGCTTCTAGCATCCACCTGATGCATCAAAGACATACACTCTCATCTATAAACACAAAAGAATATAATTCCCTTCTTCAAGATTACAAACAACGGATGTATGCCAACTACAAATAGATGGACCAATTAGCACCAAAAAAAAATGAATTATACGATTTGCCCACTATTATATCATTACTCCCTCCTATTCCAAAATAAGTGGTGTTTTAGCCTTTTCATTTTCTTCCAAAATTACCCTTGTTTTATTACATGGAGTTTTACACCATTAAATAATCAGTTCTTTCTTCAAGGCATTTAATTAGGAACAGTTAGTGAAACACTCCTTATTTTCTAGGAATGAGTAGTTTCTTAAGTGGTATGCCCAAGCTAAAAATACCACTAAGAGCCCGTTTGGATTGGCTTATTTCAAGTGTTTTTGAGCTAAAATAGCTTTTACACACATCTGGAGTGTTTGGCTAAGTTAAAAAAAGTGCTTATAAGCACCTAGTTTTAAGCTTAAATTGCTAAAAATAAGCCAAAAACCATAAGTTAGAAAACTTATGGTTTTTGGCTTATAAGTCAAAAATGAAAAACCAATCCAAACAGGTTTATTTTTGGAATGGAGGGACTATTACTTTGTAGATGAAAGACAAAAAACTTATTAAAAGAGATAGGAGAAGTTACAAAAAAATAAGAATAGATGTACTCAATTCCGAAAGAGAAGCTTAAATTAATCCAGAACTTCATCATCTCATGAAAAATCAGATTGTATTCCTTGGATTGGACCTTTACAATTAGATATTCAAGAAGCTTGGGAACTAGATAAGAAGAAATACTCCCTCCATCCCAATTTATGTGAGGGTGTTTGAAAAGAAGAGAACTTTTGAAACTTGTGGTCTAAAATAAGTCACATATATTTTCGTGGTTGTAAGCCTCATTAAGGGTGAAACGGGAATTTTAAAGCTAACTTATTACAAATTATAGAAAGGTGACATTCTTTTTGGGAACTAACTAAGAAGGAAAGAACGTTACCAATTATAAAAAGGAAAGAGTGTCATATAAATTGGTAACCTCTTCAAGCAATTAAAAGACCCTGAATGGACCTTCAACTTCAAGTTCATGAACATGTGATTACCTCATTTGCATTCATGTTACTTTGAGTTCCACTACCAGTCTGCCAAACCACCAAAGGAAAATGGTCATTCAATTTTCCTTCTGCTACTTCCTGGGCAGCTTGCATCACCGCTTTCCCTATAGATGGGTCAAGGCCATACTCCATGTTCACCTGCAATGGAGGCAATAATCACAAGATCACAAAAATGGCTGTACAGCATTGCATGAGCGACACCAAAAGTTTCACATAACATTAGAGATAAACTTGACAGTCTAGCGTATAGTAGTACAAACCTTGGCAGCACACTTTTTAAGAATGCCAAATGCTCGTATGATTGGTTCAGGCATTCTTTCACGCTCACCTCCAATTTCAAAGTTTTGCAGGGATCTTTGGGTTTGTGCCCCCCATAACCTGAACAGGAGCAAAATTGAGCCCAAGTTAATGTGGATAAAAAGAACTAAAGTTTCACACCATAGTTATAGCCTTATCGAAATAAAAGAATTTCAAAAAATAGACTGAATTATCATAACACTATCAGGTTTCTGGCTAATCAATTGCAAGGAAAGACCAGGAAAAATCACAAAGGACATAGACTATAAAGACTGCAGTACTGCACCTGATTTTGCAGGATCCACCCCACCCCCACCCACACTTTTTAGTTGAATCCTCTTGATGTAGATCCTTTATGAATAGGAAAACTTAGTATTTTATTTTATTAATTAGGCTATTATCTTTTAGAATAGATTTATCTTTATCATTATCTAGATTAGATAGCATAATTATTATTATTTTATTGATTGTCTTAAATTATTATTTGATTTTCTCTCTCTCTCTCTCTCTTTCTTAGTTAGTTAGATTGGTGGTTAGACCAACATTCTTCTACTTGTATAGGGCAGAGTGTTGGCCAGTCAAAACCTCCCATGTCCAGAAGATAGATGTTGCAGAGATGAGAATGCTAAGGTGGATGTGCGGGTTACTAGGAGCGATGAGATTAGAAATGAGGTTATCCAAAATAAGGTAGGAATAGCCTTGGTGGTGGACAAGATGAGGAAAGCGAGACTAAGATGGTTTGGACATGTGAAGAGGAGATGCGTAGACACACCTGTGAGGAGGTGCAAGAGGCTTGCTATAGAGGGTAGAAAGAGATGCAGAGGTAGGCCGAAGAAGTATTGGGAAAAGGTGTTAAAGCAGGATATGAAGCACCTTCAGGTTACCGAGGACATGACCTTAGATAGGAGGGCATGGCAAACACGAAGTAGGGTAGAGGGTTTGTAGGCCTAGGGGGTGTTTCGTATTATTATACTATGGTTGGCTGGTGTTTAGTACTTTTGTACTTAGGGTGGTTGGTGTTTAGTATTTTTGTAGTTGAGTTAATGATTGGTATTATTTGTTTTCTATAATGGATCTTAGTTTGTTGAGCATGTTTTGACTATAACATTATTGAATTGTTGTTTTTGGCTCCTTCTTGGTAGACTTTGCACTGTTACCTTATTACTTGTTGTATTCTCTTCAGTATCTCCTCTTTTTGTACCTAGATTTGTTGTACATGAGATAAGGGTCTTTTGGAAACAACTTTTGTACCTCCACGAGGTACTTGTACAGTATGCGTGCACTCTACCCTCTCCAGACCTTACTTGTGGAATTTCACTAGGTATGTTGTTATTATTGTGAGTTAGTTAGTTAGTTAGAGAGAAAATTAGCATTGTTTTAGGACTCTACCTTGTGCAAGGTTCCCTACCTATAAATAGGACCCTCTTTGTACATTGTTATACACTTCATCAAATGAATGACATTTCATGAGTTAATTCCCTCTCTTATGAGTTCTCTTCTTTCTTTGTTAGTACAGGTATCGGAGCTCAAGGTTCCTACACAAATTGTCGCACTCTCTTAGCACCATCAAGAATTCCTAATCCTTAAATAACCAACCTTCTTTCACACCATATTAATTGAAGTTCTAAAAGGGAGGTTTGATCAGTCACTTGTCTCCCTAAATTGCTTTGAGGTTTTGAAGGATGCAGATATTGTTGAGGTTTCAAGACACTGCAATAAGTGGAATCTGGACCCACCATAAGGTACTCACCTCCGTATTCAATACTACTTGGTTATTTTTTATGTGTACGGTGATCTACTAAATTTTTTGTTCCCAAAAATTCATTTCTAGATCTCCTTATATAGATGAAATAAGAAGAAAAAAAAAGGCATTCTTCCTTGCTACTGAGAAAAAAATAGGAATTACCACTTGATTAGTTTTCACACTAAATTTTTGGTTCCTTATGTTCATTAGAAGTTTGTGTATATTCTTCAATTATAAATAGAAATATCTAATCATATACTTAGTATGTTCACTTCACCTATATTCTCTTTTTAAAAAAAAGAATTCCATTGAGTCGCACTGTTCTTTGGATTATCACATCTCTAGGAAAGTTTTGTCAAAAGAGCTGTAAATTGCCTAAGGAATCTCAATTTTAAGTGGGGCAATTTGTGACTCCTCCAGTCTTACCAGTAAGTTGTCCTGGTACATTATTTTTTGATAAAGAGTTTTCCTGGTACATTATTCATACATTGTGCCTTTAATCACTCCACATATTTTTCCATGGCTCCTTCGTATTAACAAATAATGAGACGATGGAGCTTTCTCTTTCCAAACTAATAATGAGCTTATATGCAAACTCAAAGATCTTAAAGAACAAGTAGATGACTTCGGTGGAAGACAAGATGCAAAAGGCGAGGTTGAGGTAGTTTGGGCATGTGATGAGGAGATGCATGAATGCACCAATATAGAGGTGTGAGAGGTTGTCAATGGTGGATTTAGTACAGGTAGAGGTAGACCAAAGAAGTATGGAGGGAACGGAACAGTTGCAGCTTATCGAGAACATGATCTTAGATAGAAAAATGTGGAGGACACAAATTAGGTTAGCAGGTAGGAGTTCGTCCATACTAGTAGTAGGAGTGTTTTGTCCCCTTATTCTTCAATTTCAGTTACTATCAATTGTTTCATGTAGTTCGATTGTAGTATTATTTTGTTGTAGGATGTTCTACTACAATCTGTTGTTTTTGTTACTCTTCATTATCTCTTATACTTCTATTACATCCCTTTTAGACTAGTTTTGTCTTGAGTCGAGTGTCTATTAGAAACAGCCTCTCTACCTCACCTCTGAGATAGAGGTAAGATTTGTGTATACTCTACCTTTCTCAAAACTCACGTTATAGAACTACACTTGGTTTGTTGTTGATGTTGTTGTTGTAATTATCTATATAGTTTGAGCAAAAACCAGCTTACACCTTATATCTACACAATAGCATCCTCAACCGAATGATTTTCACTACTTGGTGATGGACTTAGAGATTAAACGGAAAAGGATCGTGTATGGTCAACCAAAGATCAAGTAGGATGCCTTGAGTTTGACTAAGGATAAGGCTCAAAGGTTGGGGGAGAAGTTGATGATGATGGAAGCCAGGAGTAGCATTTGGGACACGAGTAGCATGTGTTCTACGATGATCACTTGCATTAGAGGGGAGCTAGAGAGATTCTAGGGGTCTCAAAGGGTTACTCTAGTGGACACTAAGGGGTCGTTTGATACAAAGATTAATAATGTTGGGATTAGTAATGTCAGCATTAGGATTAGTAATGCAGTAATCAATAATGCATGGATTATTCTTACCAAGTGTTTGGTTCACTGTTTCCCACCTCATCTTGTGTTTGGATTAAATCTTCATAAAAAACTTCTTTCCAATTATACCCTTGAATTATTATCCAATTGGGTTAAGGTAAATAATTGTCGGACAATATTATTTTTTTATGACCTTCTAACTAGCTATGAAAAGAACAATTTTGTTGTCATGTTTGCCTTTTTTTTACTTAAGTTACTAGAGGATAAATAATTGTCATCTTAGTAAATTGATCACTTACAAATGTCAATTTATAAACTATCAACTTTAAAATTGGAAAGACGGTAAACAATAGTAAAATTGAAAAAACCATCTACATTTATGCATAAAATTGCAAGTTGTAATTTTAATATGTATTCAATTTTATAAATTGTTCAAAATACAAATAATTAGAGAACCTCGCGAACATATATATATATATATATAGAGAGAGAGAGAGAGAGTAACAAATAACTCTCTCTAAATAATTTGTAAGCTAATTTATTTAAATAAATTACTAGCACCAACCATAAAACATAAAATCAAGAAAATAAACAAAATAATTAAAATGTTTTGAGGGATATTTTTGTCTTTAGTAGACTTATTCTATGGTATTATAATCCATAACTAATCCATGGATTAGTTATACATAGACCCAATTTCCTACTAAACATAGTACTAAATAATATCATCCATAATACATGGACTATTTGTTTTAATGTGGCCTACCAAACGACCCCTAAGGGGACTGATCGAAGAACGAATAGTTTTAAGGATAAGTGGAGGCTAAGAAAATGGCATATGGGAAGCTGATGGAGAGCAAAGATGAGGAAGGAGGCAAATTACTAGTTACGGTGGCAAAGACTACAACTTAGACGTCTGTAGGAAGCTTAAGGACAAAGGCGGAGACAAAAAGTTGTACAGGCTAGCCAAGGTGTTACACGTTGGGTTCAAAAGTAACCAGTGCGTCATTCAGAAGCTTACAATTGCAAATCAAGATATGATAAATTAGATAACAAAAACTTATACTAAAAACATATATACATATACATATACATACATACATACATACATATATATATATATATAAAGACGTGGAGCATCCACAAGCCAAGAATTCCTTTTTACTTATATAAAGACAAAACTACCCTTCCCCTCACACTACAACAACCACACACTCAAGCGTCACTTTTGCTTCATTCTTTCAACACCTAGTACCACTCTTCACAAATGTCGTGGCTTTTACCAACGGCCGCCACCTTTAATAAACCTACCATCTATTTTGCTTTCCCAACTACTTTCTTTTCCCGCTACATTTCCCTTCCTGCCCACTACCTTTCATGCCCTTGCTTCCTTCTTCTACGAAAACAATCCACACTCAGAGCCCGACATTCTCCACGGCTTACTTCGAAGCGCTGCTCAACACCCCACTAACATACATCGCTCATCAGGTATGCTCCTCACTCAACTTCCTCCCCTCACCATCTTCCCAACAATGCCTCTTTATACTAACCATTAAAATATGCTTTTACTTTGCTTTACTCACATCGCTATACTCCAACAATATTTGGTAAATTCCTCTTAAAATCACAATGCTTGCAAAGGACAAGTAAATACCGCTTCGACAATGCCGTCCTTTGAAATTGTTCCTAGTTCCCTTTATCCATAAAATTTTCTCCCTTCATAAGTAATTTTTAAAGCTTCTTAAAGCACTCATCTATCTCTCGACTTCCCTAAATTATCAACCACTAGAATTGGGGATTTGGGGATAATAGTTCATGGTTAATGATGCTGAAGTACGTGAATTCACGTGTTGAATTAGAATTAACAAAGTTGCTAGGATTTGGAATTGTGCACACAGATATAAGAAAGATTTTTCACCAATACTTACAGTCGATAGTTGTTACCCGACACCAAAGTACGTGAATTCACATATAGTACATGAATTTTCCAAGTTGCTAGGATTTGAAATTGTGGACACAGAAGTAGCAAACACTAACCTTGAATGCAGACACAATTCATCTACCCGGGTTTGTTAATTACTTTGAACTCCGAACATATCTTTACAAATTCAAATAGTCTTAGTAGAATCATCTTCATACTTGGCAAAGGTATGCACATTATCATATCTATATTTTGCAATTCTCTTTTTATTTTGCCGGATGAAAACTTTATGCCTTTGATTGTCAAAAAATTGAAATTATTTTCAGATGTTTTAATGATCGAGTATTTTAACTTCTGCAATTTCATTCATGCATTTTACTCCTAAGTAAATCTGTTTGCATAACTTCAAGTCTAAGGTCTTCTAGGTTTGTTAGTCTTGAAATATGTTTGGAAAGGACTCAAACGGTGTGTCCTTTGGCTTGCTTAGTATATGTCACTTCAAATGTGAAAATTAACACAACTGCCAATTACTCACTATTTAGAATTCAAATGTAACCTATTCTTACCGCCTAAGATGATCTTGTACTCCTAACTTTCAAATATGAGAGTTATCTTCCAACGTACTCTCCAGATGCTAGGCCAAGTCAAAGTGGGATATCCAACATTGCTTTAGGGAAGCCAATCAAATTAAGATATGTCAATGTAGCTGCAGGTTTTGCAGAATATGCAACTAATTAAGACCAAGCATAAAGGTGGCATACTCTCCAACAAATACCCTCAACCGCTAAGGGGTCTTTCATCCTGGATAAATGTCGCATGAAGTTTCAGGACAAAGGGATTCAGGCAACTTCTATGTTAGTCAACTCTCTGATTAATAGTTGAATTTAGATGGATTGATAGTTTTATTATCATCAATTAACACAACCATGTCAATGCAATGGAGATAATAAGGTATAGTCCCATATGTATCTTTTTGGATGAAATATAAATGTGTCACCGGACACAATCACTACAACAAAAATAATTCTCAGTTGCAATATATATGCACATTAACAAAAAGTGTTAGTCTTTACGAACATTAGTTATCTGCCATTGGATCCAATATCGCTATAGGCTTTGGAGACATTTACAAAGAATTTTAAAATGTAATTGTCACTAATAAAAAACACTAAAAGGTTTCTCTGTCAACTTATTGGACACCCTTCTACATGTGCGGGTGAACTTATTAGTGTACTTGATGCATCTGGAGTCGCACTAAAGATTTCAACAGCACACCCAAGGCTAAGGTGCAAGATCAAGTCCTTCCCTCAGCCATAAAGAGGTAAGTAAAGATTCTTAGTTTTTGGGTGTTATTTATGGAAATTGTGCGTATTATTAATAAATATATGTTTCGATCTACTTGATTGTTAGACTTAAATCAGTTATAGATAACATTTGGTTGCTTGCATTGCTAATTCATGGATGATTATCAGTGTAACAACTTTAAACTAAAGACATTTTTCTATATTATCTTTGTGATAGTAAGATAGAGGTGGTGTTTTCTTAATGTATTTAGACGAATGTACGGATCAATATCTAAAATTGTTTTCAGCTTAATCTTTTGTAACGTTTTGGATGAATTTACAACCATTACATTCTTCTCTTTTGGTGAAGTTCAACCCCCCCCCCCCCCACACACACACACAACAAAAATGGAAAAAGAAGGTTATTACTTGCAAGTGCTCAAGTATCATCTTTTAACCTTTATCTTACATATAAGTGCTCGAATATCATGTCTTAGCCTTTACCTTACTCTGTATATATAAATTTGCAAGTGCTTAAATATCATGTTTTAACATTTATCTCTCTCTCTCTCTCTCTCTCTATCTATCTATCTATATATATATATATATATATACAAAATTCATAATGGAAGAGCAAAAAATTTTACCGAGCAATGTTATGAGTTATCTCACCATTGTAGTTGAAAATAATTAAATTAGTCAAGATTGATTTTATAAAAATAAAAATTAGCACAATAATCTATTTTTCTCTTACGCCTGTGGAAGCGCGAGTAAATTTACTAGTTATTATGTGAAAATTAATATAAAAGAAAAACATTAAAACTGTTGAGAATAAATCTCTCCATGAACAAAATTTTTAAATGTCTACATTGTGGATGCTATTAGACTCTTGATATGAGAAGAGGCGCCTTCAAACTTTTCCTCTAAGGAATGACCCAAATATGGAAGAAAATTATGCTTTTCCTTTGAGAAAAGTTAAAGCATTAATGGTAATACCTTGACTTTCCTTCAAGATAAAATTAAAACTCAAATATGGGTAAACCCTAACAATAGAGAGGAAGGCTCATGACCAGGACCAAGTGAAGTGAATCAAATATGAGGATGGTGCGGTTTAGTTGAAGGGACACTTATTAGACATAGATGACAGACATACTTTTATAAACTCTTGAATGTAGTGGAGTACAAGAACTTTGTGATGGATGATTTGGAGCACTCCGAGATTCATCGAGACTTTGGATATCATAGGTGTGTAAAGGTTGAAAAGGTAGAGTTATGCATAAAATGAACGGGGACGTTGACAAAACCGGACAAAATTCTAATAGGGTTTTGGAAGAACGCGGGCAAGACGGGCTTGGAATGGCTTACTGGATTTTTTTGTGACATTCTTAAGACGACAAAGATGCCCAAAGAATGGATACGAAGTATGATAATCCGGTTGTACAGAAATAAGGGTGATATCTAGAGTTGCAATAATTATAAGGGTGTCAAGCTACGAAACTCTGAAAGAGAGTGGTAGAAGCGAGGGTGAAGAGGAGTGCCTATTTTGAGAATCAATTCACATTCATGTTGGGGCGCAATACAGTCATTCGCCTTGCCTTGTAAGGAGGTTGGTGGAACAGTATAAGAAGAGAAAGAGGGACTTGCATATGGTGTTCATAGACCTAGAGAACACTTGCGAAAAAGTCCCGAGGGAGGTTTTTTGGAGATGTTTGGAGATCTAAGGAATTTTTGTGACTTACTCTTACTTTAGGATGATCAAGAATATGCATGATGGTGCTAAAACCAAGGCCAAAATGTGGGAGTGACTCAGAACAGGTTGCATCAAAAATCTGCTCTTAGCCCAATTTTGTTTGCATTGGAGATGGACGCACTAACACATTCAAGGAAAGGTGTCATAATGCATGTTATTTGCAGATGGCATAGTACTGATTGACGAGACATGAAGCAGAGTCAGCGCGAGGCTGGAAGTTGGGATACAGATACTAGAGCCAAAAGGTTTCAAGTTGAGCAAGACCAAAGTTGAAGGTTTAGAATGCACGTTTAATGACTTTTCTCATGAAGCGTACATGGACGTGAGGCTTGACACACAGTTCATCCCCAATAGAGGAGGTTTCACGTACTTGGGTCAATAATCCAAGGTAATGGGAGATCAGCAAAGATGTCACTCATCATATCGGGGCAAGGTGGATGAAATGGAGGCTCACGTTTAGTATATTGTATGATAAAAATGTGTCACCTAGACTAAAAGGTAAGTTCTACGAAGTGTTCGTTAGATTACTTAGATCGACTATGTTATAATGAATGAGGATCCCTTAGTTCTATAAAGTGAAGTTCTCCTGTCCAAAAGATGAAACCACCAGCGACTAGGATGTTAAGGTGGATGTGTGGAGAAAAGTCATTCAGGACAAGGTTGAGTAGTCCATGTAGAGGATAAGATGCGGAAAAGAAGATGAAATGGTTCGAGCATGTGAAAATGAGATATGCAAATGCTCCGATTAGGAGGTGTGGGAGGTTGTACGTAGTGGGCTTGAGGAGAAGTAGAGGTAGGCTTAAGAAGTATTGAGATGAGGTGATTAGGCACGATATGACAATAATATCACCACCAAAGGTTTGGTGGTGAAGGATTAGGTAGAAAGGCTAGTTGGAAGTCGGCCATGTTTCTTTCCCGTTCTTGGGAGTATTAGTATTAGTATTCTTCTCCGCCAAATATTTAGATTGCTATTACTACATGTTATTTCTTTATCCTCGATGTCTTATGTACTTGTTGTTCTTGCTTGTTACTGCTACCTCTTTTTCATAGTTTGTTTAATCTAATGTCTATGGAAAAATAGTATCTCTACCTTCTCAAGACATGAATAAGGTGTGCTTACCCTCTAATCTCCACAAATCCCACACATGAGATTACACCATGTTTGTTGTTGTTGTTTTACCATAACATGGTTCCAAAAAGCGTAAGCACACTAAGAACCCGTTTGCCTTATCTTTACAAAAAATAGTTTTTTAAAAGTAGTTTCTAAATAGTCAAATTTTAGCAACTATTAAGTTTAAAAAAATAGGGGAATACCTACTTTAAACTTGTAATTTTCATTGTGAATTTATTTTAAGTGTTTGTCAAACACTAAAATAGGTTTTACCAACTTCAATCTAAACAGGCTCAACTCAACTATAAGGTGGATTTTGAAGAAATACATTCCAGCGAACTACTAAAAAGTTAAAAGGAGATAATCAATAAAGTAAAGGAAAACATTCAAATCAATAAAGAGAGAGAGAAAGTACGAACTTATCGTCGGGAACGAGAATGGGACCGAAAGTATCTCTTTCCTCCCTGAAAGACGTTGAGCAAAACCTGGAGGAAGACGAATAACGTACAATAATCGTTGATAATCGACGGGATGCTACGAGCATCGCCATAGCTCTTTACGCGATTAGATCAATGGAGATTTTGAAGTAAACTGAATATGTAAAGAATTAGTTTTTACTCTATTTGAAACTAATAATTATTGACTCTCTCTGTATTTCCAGATTTATTTATTGTATATTATTTTCTTAAGTATTAAATTAAATAAAACCTCCCATTATCTTAATATATTTGCTTCCATTACAAATATTTAAGTGCAATTTGATTTATGTGCGGAATTGAATACAAGACATTTTTTATGTAGCTTCATGACCCATAAAAGCTTTTTTTGTAGAATTTTTTATTTTTTCGTAATTAATTTAGTCAAATAATATCCTTCTTCATGACACTGAAATATGTTTTCTAAAAGGAAAAAAACTTAAATATGTCATCAAACTTTTAGAAAACGTTTATTTATGCCTTCCGTTAAAAATTGGACTCATTTATGTCATAAATATTAAAGAAAAAGCTTATTCATGTCATCTTTTTAATTCTAGTTTTGCAAAGTCATTTTTTACACATCAAACAGAGTTTAACACTTTTCTATTGGTGTTTTTGGATAAAATGTATACTTTTTGTTTGTTTTTCTTTAAAAACACCAAGAACACATGAAGAACATAAACAACTCCCAAATTTTCAACATCTTCAATTCTTCACGAAATTATCTCAAATTTCGGCTACATTATTAATTTTTTTAAAAAAAACTAACATTCTAGCATCATTGCAGAGTACAAAAAAAAATTTCATATTTAAAAAATATATTTAAAAAAACAAAAATCAGTCCCAAAATTACACAATCCTAAAATATGTTTTTAAAAGGCCAACTTTCACATATGGCAAAAAAAATCATATTTGTATGCTATAGCAAAGTTTGCATAATTGCGCTCCATAGCAAACATAGAAATTTGTATAATTCGTTATACATATACAGTTGAAGCAAATTGTATAAAACAAGAAAGAGAAAGACATTTGGGCAGAGAATTGTATAAAAATAAAGTGTATAAAACAAATTATATTATTATAAGTGTATAGAACGATTATATACAATTTGAATTTGTATAAAATGAGAAAGAAAGAAAGACAAAAGAGACCTGACAATGAATATACAATTGAATCGAATTGTATAAAACGAGAAAGAGAGAAATTAAATACAATTTGAAAATTGTATAAAACGAGAAAGAGAAAAAGGCAAAAGAAACTGGGAAATGGGAGTATTTTTATTGTATAATTATAAGTGTATAGGATGAAAATATATGTACTTGCATGTGTATATACAATTTTTTCACACTTTATGCAAATAAAAACGCAATTTATACATTTCGATTCTGTTTGTATAAGTGAGAAAAGCGAGGGTGACGAGCGAGATTTGGGATAGTGGCGAGCGATATCTGGAAGAGGGGAGAGAGGGGAACAAAAATATATGTATTTATACAATTTTCTCTGCTTTATACAATTAGAAACAATTTTTATACACATGTGTTTGTATAAAAAGTGAGGAAGCGAGCGAGAGATTGGAGGAGAGTGGCGAGCGAGATATTTGGGAGAGAGGCGCCTGACAATTTTTTGCAAACGTTTACTATGGAGCACAATTAAATCAAACCCTAGCTATTCCATTTATTTTAAGTTATTAGTTTGATATTATATATAATTTTTCCTTTTTAAAATAGCTACAACAAATATAAAAACTTACTTGATTTTAAAAAAAAAATGTTTTAAAAAAATATTTATTTTTGCTCGAATAAATATAATAAATTTAGTAAATTTAATCTACATATCCATTATATATTAGTCAAAGGCACGCATTTCAAATACTAAACTGTCAGAGACTTGTTTTCTTAAAAAAAATTGATAGATACAAAATTATACTTCTTGTTGTTTATCAACCATTTTGACTTTTATTTTCCTTTTTTCTTCTCTTTCTTTAAAAAAAAGAGAGAGAGAGATAAACAAGTTAAATAAGGAGAAAAATAAGGGGAACATTTTCTGGCTATATGAATCTAAATAAGGGGTAATAAAAGAGAATGGCATAGTGGTAATAAGGAATATGATGAGATGGATGAATTTTTTTATTCTATACTTGATTAAATTTATTTAATTCATTTTCTGTGAATAAATAATTTTTTCTTTATACCTCGTAAATATAAATTAGACTTAAATAATTGATGGTCTTTTATACGTGTCCGCATAATTTACTTGAACAACTTAACTAAGGATTGTACCAATTGAACACCTTATCTATTAAAAAATAATGTCAATTAGACACAAAATGTTGACATGGCAAAAAACGTGTACATCGTTGTCACATCCGAGGAGCACCCCCTAGAAGTAACATGGCGTATTTGATCTCTCAGAGGTCTTATACAAGCCCATAGTTATCATTCATCGCATTGACATAGTAAATTTAGCGGAAAATTTAAAACTTTTCATAGCACATCGTATGCTAGAAACTTTACTTTTTATATATATAAAACATAAGTCAAAATACATATTTAGACGTTAAGCCTTTTTGCTATCTTAGACTCAACAACCTTAGAATACATTAGGGACACAGCCCTTAAAACATAAGAAGTAACTATACAACATTTAATAAACTTTACATTAAGACATGAGTATGGAATCCTTGAAACTTAAGGACCCATTTCCTTGAGCTTGGGAATCATATTTCAAACTCCTCAATCATAGACATCCTTTAAGAATCCATACCTCCACTTTGTGTAAAAAGTAGAGAAGAATGGGATTAGTACAAGATGCATTAAGTATGGCAGTCATGTAAAAACATGCATTTAAAAGGGACATTCTCTTGAAATCATACTTCATGCCTTTTTGAGTAAATCTTTATAAAACCTTTAAACAATAGCATTTATATCATTCATATACTTCATATAAACCCAAAGGTCAAACATCACATAAGATAATATATAGAATTTATAACATTTTCGAGTCACATTACAGTGAGCTCTTGTTCCCTTAACAGAGAGCATTATTTCCTGTTATTCATTAACTTTCCAAGTAATCTCTAGCGATACTTGGTGCAATGCATCACCTTAAGGCCAAAAGGAAAACATACATATAACCCACATAAGCCAACACATATCATCACATAAGCATAATATATCAAAGACACATTTAAGTCAAAACCTTAGGACATTACAGTAAGCTACATCAAGTCACACATATATTTACTTCTTTGCATATACATCATTATTAGACCTTGTTCATGACCCCAATCTTAGTCTACTAGTGCAATGAACATATGGAGCCCTAGAACCCCATACATTCTTAGTAAACCCTTTATGAGACCACAAACATTAACATTCAAATCATACATCAACAAGCAAGTGAAAGAAACTTCATTCATTTCAATACAAGACCTTCATCATATAGTCATTTTGACCAACATAGTGCATGTAAGGATAAGATCACATCTCATAAATTCATACCATGCACACCTTCATAACAAGAAGATAGATACTACAATGTCATGCATATGGACATAAACATAAACATACACATTAGGTCACCTTCCTAGGACTTCCTAAGAAGCTACTTGTGCAATGTCTAGATGGGTTCATTACTTCCACCTATCCTAAGTAACCCCCCTTAAGTCCTCCTAGTTAGGATCCTATTCATTTACTTCCATTGTCCATTTTACTTTAGGGTAACTATAGTCTTAACCGACACTAAGACCATGGGTGCTAAACATGAAATTTGGTGTTGTAGAGCCTTACACCAATGGAATGTGTTCCTACCTAGCCAAGGTAGAACATTAACACATGCTAGCATACTAAGTGATATCACATTGCTAGATCCTATGTGGCAAGCATAGTTATGGAACTTGGAGGTACATGTGAAAACCCTCTTTATGACAAGATGGTGCATTATGGTTATTCGCATTATGGTTATTTACTTATGGAAACCCTATTTATGCATATTGAGACATTGTGGTTATCCACCTCATAAGATTTATAGTGACCTACCTTCTCACATTGAGAAGGGACACACACTCACATTAAAGTTCACTCGGTGCTAAGCTAAGTTCCCTTTATTGAAAGTCTTCATTAACATTACTTTATAAAATATAGGCTTAGGATATTCATTCCCTCATATGCTTACTTCATAGGTCATAGATGAAAGTTCATCAACCTAAATCATGTGAGAAGATCCTTTCATATGGACATAACATATGTATTAGCACTATCTAGTTTAGGATACACTTGAGCACACCTTTCAAGGCTCCTAATATGTGAGCAAACCTTTCACATAACACCTTAAGTCACACATGTTCTTACATTCATATTCATACATATCGAAACCAAAACTAGAACTAGAACTATCCTATCAAGGTACACATGTGCAATGAATAAGCAAAGTATCATACCCTTGTCCATACTAGTACACCTATCAAGTCATCCTAGCTAAGGAAACACATATCATACTTTCATAAACATCACCTTAACATGCATAGTAGTAGACACTAGTGAATATGAAAACTACCTTTCATTTAGACACCATGACTTATACTACTTGTAACATGCATGTAAAGTGAGTGTGTGTATTTACATTTGTCAACATGATCACATCATGGCTGCTATGAACAACACATTGAGGCAGTCACCCTCTTAGACCATAATACTCTTTCAAGCATAGACCACATAACACACAATAGAGTAGGAAACAAGCCAACTTCATATTACACTTAAGACTCCTAACTTGTGCTATTCATGTATTCACATAGGTAAGGTATTATTAACCATTACTCATCAATGGAAACACCTATACTTTACCCTAACATATATACACATGCTTATACAATAGCCATAGAATAGGAAACTAGGCATAAACTTCTCATAGTATCATCATAAGCACATGTTCATCAATTTGACTTCA